TCCTCCTCCTCCTCCTCCTCCAACCTCCCGCCTCCTCCTGCCCTCTCTTCGCCGACGATGGGGGCTACAATCTGCGACACTGTCGCCACTTTCGAGGGCTGCTGGTAGGTCCTGCGGAATAAGGAACTGCGCAGATCTGAGCGAGACCCAGCCGTCCCTGGGGGGCTGCGATCTGCGAAACGGTCGCCTCTTTCGAGGGCTGCTGGTGGGTCCTGCGGAGTGAAGCACGGCGCAGATCTGAGCGAGACCTCGCCGTCCCTGGGGGGCTGCGATCTGCGAAACTGTCGCCTCTTTCGAGGGCTGTTGGTGGGTCCTGCGGAGTGAGGCACCGCGCAGATCTGAGCGAGACCTCGCCATCCCTGGGGGGCTGCCATCTGCGAAACTGTCGCCACTTTCGAGGGCTGCTGGTGGGTCCTGCGGAGTGAGGCACCGCTGAGCGAGACCTCGCCATCCCTGGGGGGCTGCGATCTGCGAAAGTGTCGCCACTTTCGAGGGCTGATGGAGGGTCCTGCGGAGTGAATCACCGCGCAGATCTGAGCGAGACCTCGCCGTCCCTGGGGGCCACTTTCGAAGACTGCTGGCGGGTCCTGCGGACTGAAGCACCGCGCAGATCTGAGCGGGACCTCGCAGTCCCCGGGGGGCTGCGATCTGCGAAACTGTCGCGACTTTCGAGGGCTGCTGGTGGGTCCAGCGGAGTCAGGCACCTCGCAGATCTGCGAAGCTGTCGCCACTTTCGAGGGCTGCTGGTGGGTCCTGCGGAGTGAGGCACCGCGCAGATCTGAGCGAGACCTCGCCGTCCTGGGGGGGCTGCGATCTGCGAAACTGTCGCCACTTTCGAAGGCTGCTGGTGGGTCCTGCGGAGTGAGGCACCGCGCAGATCTGAGCGGGGCCTCGCCGTCCTTGGGGGGCTGCGATCTGAGAAACCGTCGCAACTTTCGAAGGCTGGTGGCGGAGCAAGGCACCAGGCAGATCTGAGCGAGACATCGCAATCCTTGGGGGGCTGCGAGCCTCACGAATGCCGCTCGCAGAAATATATGTGCCCACGTCACGTCATCACCTCCGTATAACGTCTCCCAAGCTACCCATGCCCCGCATTGCGCAGGGGTTGGGTACGTCGCCAGGGTAATTTCCCAACCCTCCTTGGTTGGGTATTCGTTTTGAATAGAGCACTGTGGTCGCGTCCCTCCTCCTCCTCCTCCTCCTCCTCCTCCTCCTCCTCCTCCTCCCACCTCCCGCCTCCCTCTTGCCTCCTCTCGCCTTGTGGGTGCCGCGTGTGTGCGCGTGTGCATCTTGCGTGCGGTACCTCTTATGTGCATCTTGCATGTGGTGCTGCGATCTGCGACACCGTCGCCACTTTCGAGGGCTGCTGTGGGTCCTGCGGACTGAAGCACCACGCGGACCTGAGCGAGACCTCGCCGTCCCTGGGGGGCTGCGATCTGCGAAACTGTCGCCACTTTCGAGGGCTGCTGGTGGGTCCTGCGGAGTGAGGCACCGCGCGGACCTGAGCGAGACCTCGCCGTCCCTGGGGGGCTGCGATCTGCGACACGGTCGCCAATTTCGAGGGCTGCTGGTGGGTCCTGCGGACTGAAGCACCGCGAGGACCTGAGCGAGACCTCGCCGTCCCTGGGGGGCTGCGATCTGCGAAACTGTCGCCTCTTTCGAGGGCTGCTGGTGGGTCATGCGGAATGAGGCACCGCGCGGACCTGAACGAGACCTCGCCGTCTCTGGGGGGCTGCGATCTGCGACATTGTCGCCATTGTCGAGGGCTGCTGGTGGGTCCTGCGGATTGAGGCACCGCGGGGACCTGAGCGAGACCTCGCCGTTCTTGGGGGGCTGCGATCTGCGACACCGTCTCCACTTTCGAGGGCTGCTGGTGGGTCCTGCGGACTGAGGCACCGCGCAGACCTGAGCGGGACCTCGCCGTCCCTGGGGGGCTGCGATCTGCGACAGCGTCGCCACTTTCGATGGCTTCTTGCCCCAGGGGGCTGCGATCTGCGACACTGTCGCCACTTTCGAGGGCTGCTGGTGGGTCCTGCGGACTGAGGCACCGCGGGGACCTGAGCGAGACCTCGCCGTCCCTGGGGGGCTGCGATCTGCGACACGGTCGCCACTTTCGAGGGCTGCTGGTGGGTCCTGCGGACTGAGGCACCGCGGCGACCTGAGCGAGACCTCGCTGTCCCTGGGAAGGGGTGCGATCTGTGACACTGTCGCCACTTTTGAGGGCTGCTGGGGGGTCCTGCGGACTGAGGCACCGCGGGGACCTGAGCGAGACCTCGCCGTCCCTGGGGGGCTGCGATCTGCGAAACTGTCGCCACTTTCGAGGGCTGCTGGGGGGTCCTGCGGACTGAAGCACCGCGGGGACCTGAGCGAGACCTCGCCGTCCCTGGGGGGCTGCGATCTGCGAAACTGTCGCCACTTTCGAGGGCTGCTGGTGGGTCCTGCGGACTGAGGCACCGCGGGGACCTGAGCGAGACCTCGCCGTCCCTGGGGGCTGCGATCTGCGACACGGTCGCCACTTTCGAGGGCTGCTGGTGGGTCCTGCGGACTGCGGCACCGCGGGGACCTGAGCGAGACCTCGCCGTCCCTGGGGGTGGGGGCTGCGTTAGTAACGACTACGACGCCCTTATATCTTGATGGGGGGCCTGCGAGCCTTCCGATTGCTGCCCGCAAAATCACATGCGTCCATGCTACGTCATCACACCCGTTGTAGCAATCCTGATGTATTTGCGCTCCGCAGTGCGCAAGGGTTGGGTACGTCGCCCAAGTAATTTCCCCAAACAATAATCAATCTTCGAGGGTTGGAACCGGGAAAACGTCAGAAGGCGAATCAACGATTTTAGCCTCTTTGGGCTCTCTCGGGACGGCTCTCGCAGCTCTCTTGGGCTGTTTGGGGCCTCGTCGGGGTCTTTTGGGGGCCTCTCAGGGATCGGGGGTGTGTTGGGGGCCTCTGGGGGGTCCCAAAGGCCTCTCGGAGGTCGCTGGAAGCCTCCTGCTCCCGCTCTTGGGCCCATTTTGGGCCTGTTTTGGGGTAGGGCTGTCCTGGGCCCCTCTTCGGCAGTCTTGGAGCCTTCTTGGCTCGTCTCGGGGCCGTCCTGAGGGTCTCATGGGTGGTCTTGGTGCGGTCTTGGGAGCCTCTTCGGCGCTCTTGGACCATTGGAAGCTCGAAAACGCGGGACCAACAACATCGCAAAAACAAATGGAAATCGACGATTTGGGCCTCTTCGGGCCGTCCCGGGACGCCTCTCGGACCTCTCTTGGGGTCTCTTGGAGGCCACCTGGGAGCCTCGAGAGCCGTCCGAAGGCTAACTTGGGCTGCTTGGGAACGTCTTGGACCATCTTTTCGCATTCTGGGTGCTCCTGGGAGGCGTCTTGGGCCCTCCTGGGGCGCTGTGAAGGCTCCCCGGAAAGGCCTCTTGTGCTCCTGGGGGGCGTTCTTGGGCGGTTTAGGTGTCTCGTGGGCCGTCTTGGCCCCCTCGTGGGCCGTCTTGGGGCCCTCTTGGGGGCATCCTCGACCGCCTTGGGTGCCTCTTGGGCCGTCCGTCTTGGATGCAGTGGACGCCCAAAAGGCAAACACGCCAAAAATATCAGTTCTCCCTTAGGAAATGTACGATTTTTGCTTATTGGGCCACTCTCGGGATGCTTCTTTGGGGTGTATTTGGGGGTTCTTTTGCTGTTTTTGTCGGGTCTCATGGGGGCCTCTTGGGGCTTCTGGGCCCCTTCTTGGAGTGTCTTGTGGTCTCCTAGGGTCTCTTGGGCCAAAAGGCCAGAATTTCCGGTTCCTCGTCCCCGTCTTGGGCGCCGCCTTGGGGCGTTTTTGGGCGGTTTGGGCGCCTCGTGGGCCGTCTTGGCGCCCTCGTGGACCGTCGTGAGGCCTTCTTGGGGGCATCCTCGACCAGCTTGGGTGCCTCTTGGGCCGTCTTGGATGCAGTGGATGCCCAAAAGGCAAACACGCCAAGAAATATCAGTTTTCTCATAGGAAATCGACCATGTTTGCTTATTGGGCCACTCTCGGGGTGCCTCTTGGGGCGTCTTCGGGGCCTCTTTTGCTGTTTGTTCGGGTCTCATGGGGGCCTCTTGGGGCTTCTGGGCCCCTTCTTGGAACGTCTTGGGGTCTCCTAAGGTCTCTTGGGCCAAAAGGCCAGAATTTCCGGTTCCTCGTCCCCGTCTTGGGCGCCGCCTTGGGGCGTTCTTGTGCGCTTTGGGCGCCTCGTGGGCCGTCTTGGCGCCCTCGTGGACCGTCTTGGGGCCCTCTGGGGGGCATCCTCGACCGGCTTGGGTGCCTCTTGGGCCGTCTTGGACGCAGTGGACGCCCAAAAGGCAAACACGCCAAAAGTATCAGTTTTACCATCGGAAATCGGCGATGTTTGCTTATTGGGCTCTCTCGGTGTGCCTCTTGGGGCGTCTTCGGGGCCTTCGGGGGCCTTCATGGGAGTCGTCTTGAAAGGCGTCTGGAGCTTCTGGGCGTCATGGGAGTCGTCTTGAAAAGCGTCTGGAGCCATTGCGGCGGCCTCCTGGGGCCTCCCTGCAGCCTCTTGGGGCCCTGTTGGCCCCGGGCCGCTGAAACTCCGTAAAAACACAGGGACAACGACGCACGGCACCCCCATGCCCTGTCGAGGTCGCGATCCCAGCCCCCCCGGCCTCGTGCACGGATATATATACATATATATAGACACATATACATATACATATACATACACATATACATATACATATACATATACATATACATATACATACACATACATACATACATACATACATACATACATACATACAGACAGACAGACAGACAGACAGACAGACAGACATACATGCATGCATGCATGCATGCATGCATGCATGCATGCAGGCAGGCAGGCAGGCATGCATGCATGCATGCATGCATGCATACATACATACATACATACATTACATACATACATATACATACATACATGTATGTGCATACGCATTTGTAGACATGTAGACAGATATGCAGCCCTCAGGACATGATCCTCGGCCCCGATAGTTGAGCACCGCGGTGGAGCACGCCTGAGGCACCCCGTAGCCGCGCTGGTGCCGTGGGCGGCCGGCCCCGCCCCCGACGGCCCGGGCGGGGGGTGGGGGCGAGCCAGCCAGACAGAACCCCATCGGGGGTCGCGCCTCCTCCTGCCTGCCTGCCTCCTCCTCCTCCTGCCTCTGCCTCTCCCTCCCTCCCTCCCCCTCCTCGCTCAGTCGCTCCGCCCACGCCTCCTCTGCATCCTCCTCGCCGTTCCCTCCCCCCTGCAGCCAGGGCCGCCAGCACCCCCTCGCACGCCCGGGGCCGCCCTTCGGGCTGCCCCTCTGGACGCCCGGAGTCCAATTGTTAGGAAAGCGAAAGCGAAAGCGAAGCTCCCCCGAAAAAGTTAATAGTTAAGAAAGCGAAATCGAAAGCGAACCGCTCGGAAAAAGTTGATAGTTTCGCTTTGAGGTGTCGCGGGGACAGTACTGGCAAAGTGGGCAGGATGCCCGACACCAGATACTGCTCAGAAGCAGCAGCGGCCGCTGCTGGGCGGGCGGCCTTCTGCCTGAAAAGGACGACGTCGGCGGTGATCTCGACAACGAATCCTGCACAAAATGAACGGGGCCTGCCGTCGGTCTTCGTACGTACCCATTCTTGCCGTACCCAGTTCGGGCCCCTCGATCCCGGATCCCTCCTTCCTCCGTTGCCCGAGAACGGCACAACGCCAATCCGACGTTCGACGACGACCTCCCTCCGCCCTCGGCCGAACTACCGCTGTTGGCGTAAAAAACGTCCATCCACAGACGTTGCGTCGACGGTGCCGCCCCCGGACCCCCCACTTCAGTGTTGCGTTCGCGGCCGTTGTCGGGGTGCAAACATCGGCATAGAAACGCCCAAAACTTCCCGGCCAAGGCAACGCCGTTCTCGGCATTGAAATTGGGGGGCACGTGGATCTGAACACAGCAGCGTGGTACATGATGCCTGATGGGCGTTTTTTTACGGCAACGGCGGTATTGGCGATCGATCTGGGCCGCCTTCTTGGCGGCCAGGAGGGCCTACCTGGCCATCGCTGCCTTCCCTCCCCCGAGCTTCGACGTCGTGTTTCCCCCATCTCCTAGTGTTGATGGGGCTCTTGTCATCAGTGTGACGCCTCAGCCTCTCCTCCGCCATCCTCCCTCTCCTCACTCACACTGAGACTCGCTCGTACTCAGACTCGCTCACACTCAGACTCGCTCACACTCTGATCCAACACGCAAGCTCACTCCTACTCGGATGCGCTCATACACTCATACAGATGCTCGTACACTAAGACCCACCTCTCACACCTATACTCATGCACAGTCAGAGTCACTCACACACAGACTCACTCACACTCAGACTCATCCACACAAACCACTCACACTCAGGCTCGGCTCACACTCAACTTGTGAGGATGTCTCGAGCGAGGCGCCGGCTTCAGCACCCCAGTGGGGGAGCCGCCAGGGGAAATGACAATCGCCCGTTCGCGCCCAGATTGTGGGGATGTCTCAGGCGGTTGGCCTGCTTGGTGGCTTGAACTTCGTTGCTTTCGGAACAGATGCTGAGGATGTCTCCAGCGAGACACTGGCTTCAGCACTCCAAGAGCGAGCCACCAGGGGGTATGACACTCGCCTGCTCGCGCCCAGATTGTGGAGGGGTCTCAAGCGATTTGCCTGCTTGGTGCTCGGACTTCGGTGCTGTCAAACCAAATTCCGAAAATATCTCAGGCGAGGCGCTGGTTTCAGCACGTCAGGCGGCCAGATCGATGAGATGTATCGAGTCAGGCCATTGGTGTTGCACCTCCGACTCCTGTCCATTCGGGGGCCCATGATCATTTCGATGTAGGGGGAAGGACGGCCGCCAGGACGGAGGAGGGAGGACCGAGGAGCAAAATAATGAAGCATGATGAGGGAAGAAGGGAGGAGGGAGGAAGAGAAGGGCGGAGGTACGACGAATGGTACGAGGAAGGAGAGGGGAGGGGGCCCGCTCACCGCCCGTCTGTCTGTGCATTGCCGTCGTCACTGTGGCCGCCGCCGTCGTCGTCGTCGAACTCGTCGTCCACTCGGACTCGCTCTCACACCCAGACCCTCACGGCCGGACACTCACAGCAGGACGTGCCAGGAAATGACATGCATATATGGGGATCCACGCGTCGAATACATGTTTGACAAGGCGGACCCCCAGAGGTCTCGACCCCTTCCCCCGGACCGACCGCCTTCTCGTCCTGAGCAATTGTTCGACGGACCCACGGCCTGGCGAAGGCCCCCAAGGGCCGGAAACAGCAAAAACCCTCCGCCGTGTTTTTATCACGACGCGAGGGGGGCTTGGGCCGTAGAAGCAGAAAAACCAGCATACAGATAAACGTTCGACGGTCCGTGCGGACTTCATGGATCTGTGCTGGACCTCCCTCCCCTGGCGCGCGGAGTGCGCCAGGGGCGGCGCTGGAGGCGCTGGGGGGGGGGGCCCAGCGCGGATCCAAGAAATCCGCGCGGAGCGCCGAAAGTTTATGTTCATGGTGCCTTTTCCTCTTCGAGGCCTGGACCCGAGCGCGGAAGCTGGCCGACCACGGCGCTGGTGCCGATACCCCATGGCCATGAGCGCGCCGCCGTGGCCCGCGGTGGACGCCGCGTAGAGATACAGCACCGCCAGGGCCTCCTGCCGGTACACGTCGTCCCCCTCCGCGTGGGCGGCGGAGTGGAGCAATGCCAGGTTGAACTGGGCCTCGCGGGGGCTTCTTGTTTAGAGGTCTCCCAGATCGGATCTGAGCAGACGAGGTCGGAATGTCGCGCCGCATCGCCGACGCATCGGCGATGCGGCTCGATGTGGGGCCCGACTTTCTCCACGCCGATGTCGCCGATGCATCGTCGTGATCCTCCGACACCATATTTCGGATCCCATCTGGGAAGGTCCAAATCTGTTTTGGGGTCCCGAAGCGGTGCGGTGGCAGACCGCGCGGTGACCACGGAAACCTGAGCGACATCACGGCACAGTCCGCCCCCCGCACGATCTTGGGACCATGGAAGCCCCAATCGCCCGACAGGACAGGACAGGCGCCGATGTGCGCCCCGGGGGGCAGCCCTCTAAGACCTCAGCGGGGGCGCCGGAGCGCTGAAAAACGCTGATGTCGTACCACACGGTTACTTTACGATCTCGAATGCGTACTAATGTCCCCAATCGCCCGAGGCGTCCTCGGAGAACGGCCCGGGTCCCAAGACCTCCTCCGCCTCCTCCTCCTCCTCCTCCTCCTCCTCCGCCTCCTCTTCCTCCTCCTCCTCCTCCGGCTCCTCCTCCTCCTCCTCCTCCTCCTCCTCCTCCTCCTCCTCCTCCTCCTCCTCCTCCTCCTCCTCCCAAGACCGTGCGGTCAACCCGAAGCCTCGCTGGACTCACCCGCACGGTCTGGCCACCGCACCGCGTGGGGGCCCTGCGTGGGGCACGCTCGGGCCGCTCGCTGGGGTTGGCTTCCGTGGCCCTCGCTGGGCCCCCCATGGGGGAGGAGGGCCCCCGTCGTGAGCAGAAGGAAAACGATCGAGAGCTGATGGTCAGTTTTTCCCAAGCCCTCCTGTGTGGGGTTCTCGTTTTTGAACAGAGCACTGCGGTCTCCATTCCTCCTTCTCCCTCTCCTGCCTCCTGCCTCCCGCTTTCTGCCTCCTGTCTCCTCTTCTCTCCTTCCTCCCTTCTCTCTTTCGTCCTGCTTGCGCCGCTTGGCCAGTTTCGTGTGGTTTTCTCCTTGTCGCCCCTTTCGTGGGCTCCTGAGCAGGCGCCATGGCATGGGGAGTTCCTGAAGCAGAAGCAATACTTCTTGGCGGTGATGTAAAAACATCGCTCCTCTTTGTAGCCAAAAAGTATATACACCACCACCGCTCGTGTTTTGATGAATTCTGTTTCGGCCCTTAAAAGAAAGAGGGGGGCAGTTCGGTTGCCGTTGGCGGCAGGAGGGGGGCTGCGGGTGTTTCACCGCGTCACGCGAAGCAGGTTCGATCTCACGCACAGGCAACCCTCGGGCCCGAAACTTTCCCAAAGCCTTGGCTTAGTCTGGTCCACCAGGTCCTTGTCGCCGCCGAGTGCGAGGATGTCATCCACGTGGGCGGCGACGCTGACGGACGGGCGCTGCGCGATATCCACGCTAGGCTGGCCGCCCAGAGCGACCACGGTCGCGCCGCGACACTCGCCAGCGGGAACGGCCCAGGCGGCGGACCGGCACAGGCGTAGCGCCCACGAGAACCCCATCGGCAGCACGGTGACCGGTGGGGAGACCAGCGCGGCGGGGCCCACGTCGAGGTCCACGAGCCCCAACTCCTGAAGGACACCCGCCTTAACGCAGGGCAGTGCGAACGTCTCCTCCATGCCTGCGGAGAGCGGCCGACGGTGCGAAGCTTATCGTTGTCCGTCGCGAGCGCAGCGCGATCATCTGCCTCTCGTGCGTGACCGAGCGTGCTCACATCGCGACTCAAGGCTGCGTCACAGCATGGTCCACGAGGACATGCTGCTTGTGCCGGGATTTCTGTTGAACGCCGATCTCGAAGCACATGGCTCTGCAAGCCCTCCAGCCAGGCCGCATCCTCGGGCTGCGCCAGACTGGCGATGTCCACGGGGGCGGACCCTACAAACGGCCAAGCGACCTCGTCGCGGGCGCAGGGGGCCGACGTGGCGGCGCCGAACCGCGCGGGTTGGCGCGGGAGAGGAGCTCCCGCAGGACTCCGTCTTGACTCAGCAGTAGACGTGGAGAGCTCCGCGGGCGGGGTGCCCAGCTCGTCGACGCTGTCCGAGATGCGCAGGATGGTCCGGCGCTGCCCTTCGCGAGCTGCCGCGGACGGCGAGGACCGAGAGCCATGAAGTGAATGAAGTGCGCAGGCAGCGGCGCGAATGCGGCCATCGGGATGAGAGCGATAACCGCAACGGCGCGCAGAATGGCGGCCGGCAGGCTTCGCGGGGCGCGAAGCGGCAGCGGCTGCGACCGGCAGCGGGAATGCGCCACGAACGCGAGCGCCTCCAGACTGCCGAGGGCCTGCGGCGGGCGCCGCAATCATGTCCCAGGAGAGGGCTGGCCCACCTGCCCCCCCCCCCAGGTGCGTCTCAGCCATGGCCGTCAGGGGCCCCGCGGCCGCCCCTCCCGCCGTTCTTATCTCGGCCGCGACCGCGACCGCGACCTCCGCCTCGGCCTCCGCCCCCGTGCCCTCCGGACCCTGCGCTGCCAGTCGCGCCAGAGCCAGCCGCCAGCAGCCGCTCCCCCCGCGCCTTGCAGCGCCCCTTGGCGACGCTCGCCTCGCGCGCCTCTTCGGCGGCAAGCCAGTCGCGCAAGGCAGGTGCGACGCAAGCGTTGCCAGCACCACCCAAGGAACCTGGCGCCAGCGCCGCGTCCGAGCCGAAATCCGAGGACGGGGCAAACCTGTCTCTGCACAGCTCCTTCCCGCGTCTGGAGCGCCCGCCCGGCAAGCTCTATAGCCGCGAGGTTGGTCACGTGGAGCTGGTTGTAAACGACTCCGAGCTCCAAGAGGCGGCAGCGCAGCAAGTGGGTATCAACACTTGGATCATCCGCTTCCAAGAAGACTTCCGACTTCCACTTGACGTGGCGGCCCAATGGTGTTCCTCCATTGCGGCAGATGAAGTTCAGCGCCCAGAGAAGCGTCCTCGGGCCCTTGAGAGGCCAAACACCCCATGGCAACTCGTGCAACTGAACTACCGCGGCGCGGAAGTCGATGTACCGCGCGCCCTGGGTGCCCAACGAAACCGTCTGAATCCTGGCGTCGCCACCTGGGGCGCCTGCGATCGCCGCCAGAGACCCCGGCGAGCCCAGCGAAGCCAGGGGCGGCGCCTCCAGCCGCTGGCACGGCGAGCGCGGCCACGGATGCTAGCATGGCGACTGCGGCGCCGCCCAGTGCACCAGGGGCCGCAGCGCGGAACGGGCGCCGCGGGCACGAGGGCGCCTGCGACACCACCTCCCGCAGCTCCCGGAGCGCCGGCAGCGGGAATGGCCGCGGCAACGGCAGCCGCGCGGGGCCCAACGACGCCCGCCACGATGGCGCGCCCAGCCATGTTGAGAGCGATGCCTGGCCCAGGCCCAGCCCCGAACCCGAGCGTCTAGCGCGTCGAAGCTGGCGCAGCGGCCATCTCACGGGGCAGCGGGAGCCCTCGGAACCGATTGACCTGGTCCCCGCCTGTCTGGGACTGCGAGCCCTCCAGCGGCGCCGCCTGCAGGGATCGCGAACTCCCTGATGTCCGCGCCGTTCTGTGCGATATTCTCGACGTAGGCGTGCCCGTCGGGCGTAAGTATGCCCATGCGGAACGGCGGCGCCGCCTGCATGGCGATGATCAGGCGTTCATGCCAGATCCGCGCGCCCGCCACCAGATAGAGCACCAGCACGAAGTCCCCCTCATCGAGCCCTGCCAGAGCGACAGGGTGACCTGCGACAGCAGCGGCAGCCGCCGACATTACTGCACCGCGGCGCGGGCGCGCACAAGGGCCGCATGAGCCCTGGCCTCAGCCTCCAGTCCCAGCGGCAGCGAGCTCCCCGAGCCGCCCCTGCGAGCTCCGAAACCCCGCGCCGCGGCGGCGCCGAGCGCGAGCCCGCTCACCAGCGCCAGGAACACGGCCGACAGCGGCCACCCAGCAGCCTGCGGCGGGCAATCTAGGCATGCCGCCTCCAGTCCACGCCCGCACACAAGCGAGGGCGCGCAGGTGCAGGCTGGGCACTCCACACGCGAGGCCCAGACCAGCGCCGCCTGTGCAGCGCCCTGGACGGCCTCGCCCGCCAGCCAGGAGGCGAAGGCCATCGAGATGCCGGACCTTTGCACTTGAGCCCGCATGCCAGTGGAAGGACGGCATGACAGATGCGGCACTCTCTCCCGCGGGGTGTTGCTTCACGTTTCATAGCTAGACACATATTTATTTACACATACATGAAATATACACGCTTATACACATACGAACACACATATCTATATATACAGATGACTACAGGGCTATGTGATTGATTTTTCCTATGCTTAGGGGGTTCTTACTTCTGCACTGAGGAACCGGGCCGCCGATAGATTGCACCACATTGATTGCGCCGCGTATATTCCACCACACAGACTGTACCACAGAGATTGCACCACATAGACTGGACATCATTTATTGCACCTCCAAGATTGCACAACATTGACTGCACCAACAGAGTAGGCAACATATATTCAACCACATATATATATATATATGCAAGTTAAGAACACACACATATATATATATATATATATATATATATATATATATATAAAAGGTCGATCATTGATTTTACACCGCGTAGATGGCACGAAATGTATTGCACCACTTGGATTGCACCACGTCGGTTACACCGCGAAAGTTGCGCACCACATAGATTGCACCACGCGGATTGCGCCACATAGCACCACACACACCTACATCGCACCGCATATATTGCATAACATAGATTGCATACATCAGATTGCACAGCATAGATGTGGTGAACCGTCGGTGATCCGCCCGATTGCCAGCGTTTTTCCAAGTTCTAGGGAACTGATCTGCATCCAGAAGCGCTCTTGAGAGCCTTCTCCTCATCCAGACAATACTACGACTTCCCCAAAACATCGCAACAACTTCGGATCGATAACAACCGGGTGTGATCAGTCCGAAGTGGTCGACAGTCTGCCCGAAGTGGTTGCGATCCGCCCCGGTACCCCGCAGGGCCCTGATTGGTTGGGGCATTCTGGGACCGTCGTGGGGTCCCCTTGGGGCCTCGTGGACCCCGTTCGGTACTCGCGGGGTGGACCGAAGGGGGGTGGGTGGTTTGGCGAATCAGCCGCGTGCAGCTGGCTTTCCCGACGCAAATGGCGGCCGTGTGTCGAGGAAAGCGCTCGGCGACGGGGATGCTCGCAGCAAGTGGCGGCCCCCCTCCCCTTTCCCACCCCTCCCGTCCGGGTGTTGCTAGAAATGGTCCTGGCCCGAGGTGTTGCCTGCTTTGCACTTGGGGCCTCTGAGGCCCCCTGGGCCTCGGGCGGGTGCTCTGGAAGCCACCTGCGCCGAGCTGGGAAAGCGGGGGCCACCTCGGCTCAGGGCCACTTCTAGCAACACTCGACCACCCATTCCGCCCTGACCTCTTTTTGGGCAGGGACCGACCGTCCTGGTATTCCTGAAGGCTTACCACGAAACTCTTCTTTTAGAACCTAAAAACGTTCTAACACAGAACGCTTTCTTAGAACACAAAGCCGATGTATGAAGGCAAGACGGCGTCAGCCAGAAATGTCCCTGGAACATTTCGTGCGAATCGTTCAAGATTCTGATGCAGAACAGTATTCATTGGGCCTGCAAGCAAGCCGAGACGCCTTGGCACAGCTTAATCCTTGAGGCCCTCGGGGGCCACTTTTAGGTGTACCCATGGGGCCTCTGGGTCGCCCGCGTCAGCGGCCGCCCGGAAGAGCGCCCTGGCCTGCGCCACGTCCTTCGGAACGCCCGCGCCCACCAGGTGCATCTCGCCCAGCACAGTCCTACAGGCCGCCTCCAGAAGGGAAAGCAACGTCTATGAGAGGAGAAAGCTAACAAGGACCACGACCAAGAAAGAACGCGGAAACGCCCCTCTCGATCCCGGTTATCGATATTTTTTCCTCAAGCTAGGCGCGGCCACCATTCAACATACATGAGACGGACGATCTCCTTTTTCACGAGGACGCGCCCTCACTCAGGACGAGGTGCCCTTGAGACTGTGTAATTCTGAGTTTGCTTGGCAGCAATGGAAAAGGACCCGGGCCCGGATCAAATCACCAAATCTGGCTGCATGGCATCGGCTCCCAGGGAGGGTAGGGAGGGAAGCCTTGAAACCAGAATGGCCGCGAGAGGGGGAGAGAGCAGCAGCGCGAGAGCAGAGCAGGAGAGGAGACGGACGGGGCGTAGCCCCTCTCGCTTGGCCGCTCGACGCGGAGGACAACTGCATCCAAAGATAATCATTCCTCAAGCTAGGCGCGGCCACCATTCAACATACATGAGACGGACGATCTCCTTTTTCACGAGGACGCGCTCTTACTCAGGACGAAGTGCACTTGAGACTATATAATGCTGAGCTTGCTTGGCAGCAATGGAAAAGGACCCGGGCCCGGATCAAATCACCAAATCTGACTGCATAGCATCGGCTCCCACCCCCAATTCAGTTGTCACTGGGCGGGCGGGCTGGGAAGGAAAAAGAAGAAAGAGAGATCATCTCGGCACACGATTCGAGCAGGCGGCGCGAGAAACGAGGTGCCGAAGATCCGCCGCCGAAAAACGGGCGGCCCGTTGGCGGGCGGCGGCAGGCACGGCGGCTCGTTGTCGCAAATGCGAGCCGTACTTCTCATAGATGCGCACGGACTCTCGTGCGCGCCATCTCCCGCGCTGCTGGATCTGATCAAGACTACGCAGCTGCTCTAGAGCGTCATGCGAGGGGCCTCCGCGCCGAAGCTGATGAGGCACGGAGAAGACGCGGCACAGACCTAGGTCGGAGGCAACGCTTCGCACGAGCCTCTCGTATGCGCTGAGATTCAGAGGGGCAAAAAGCTTGGCGGCGTCTGCACGGCCCTTGCGCAGGGCGAGCAGCGCTGCGGGCACCTGTCGTCTGAGAGGGACAGGCGTGCCAGCGACGACAGCGCGGTCAAACTCATTTGTCTTGGACGGCGCACCGCCCGCGAGAGGCGCGATGATGATCGAGACTTGGCCGCCAGCGCTGCCGTGGACATCGCCAGCGGTGACGGCGAGCACTTCGCTGGGGCGCAGGCACAGGTCGAACTGGACTATCATGGCCACGGCGGCGAGGGCCCCCAACGTGGAGCGCTCCGCGAGGGCTCCCATGCAGGCGATCACCGCGTCGAAGGGGGCCGGCATCCTAGGAAGCCGTGGCAACTTGGCAGACCAGCCCGCCAGGGCATCTTTTAAGCGCACAAAGTGAGGCTTGGCCACAGCCCATCCTCTGAGACGAGCAAGTCCGTAGAGAGCGTTACGTGCCATATACTGAGGAGATCCAGAGAAGAAAAGGTGCTCGATGTACAAGTTCATCGAAGTGTCGGCATTCTTTGGGTTGTCAAAGAGAAGACGCTGGCGACGAGCCCAGGCCTCAAAGTCGGCGACGGCTTGCTGATACTTTGTCAGAGTCGCCGGTCGCAACGAAGCCGTCCGCAAGAAATCGCCAGGAGGCACTCGGCGGGATTGTCGCTGTTGCTCGGCGCGATCCACTGCCGCCGCCGCCCGCCTTCGGCGCTCCGCTGGCAGCGCCCGGCGGCCCCGCGCTTGGCCCCCGCCTGGGGGCGGGGCAGCGCTGCGAGGCACGCCGGCCGCCCGATGGGCGGGGGCGCGGGTCGAGCGCGGAGGCCCAGGCGGCTCGCCAAAGGAGCCTGAACCTCCGCGGACAGAGCGGGACGCCGGGGGCGCGGAGGCGGACCTCGCCCGACGCGGCTGCCAGGACGCCATCCCAAGTCGCGAGGTCTCCTGGCGTGGCTCGGCCATAGGCGGACTCCGGGGCGGAGAGCGAGGCGATGCGTACAAGTTCTCGGCACCACTCTGGGAGGTACGCGCCAGCCAAGGTAGTCCGCCAAACCCACCCTCTCGTCGGATGGCGAACTTTGCCCTGAAGAACTTCACGGTGTGGTTGGCAGCACTGGCACCGGCGGCCCAGCAGCTCTAGGTTCGGCAGCGTGCCGGCGACCGCCCCTGGCTTCTCGAAGGGGGCCCCGAAACGGCAGGAGTCGTAGACGACCTTGCCTGGCTTGTGGCGGCGGAGCTCCCTCTCCAGGGGCGCCCAGCGCCAGACTCGGCTGGGGCCAGGGTTCTCCAGGAGGACGAAGATGTTCAGCTTCCTGCAGAGCTTGAGCACCCGCACGGCGAAGCTGACGAGAGCGAGGTCTGCCGGGCGTGGAGGCCGGTTGCCTCCAGCCAGCACCCAGTGGGCACACGGAAGGCCAATACGTATGCACCAAAAGCGGCGCTGAGCAATCCAAGCCAAGACAGCGTTACGGACGCCAGGATGAGTGAGGTCATGATGCTCGCCGTTTGCGATGTCCAGAGGGCAGGCGATACGAAACCCGGCCTCGTGGAAGGCCCGACAATTTTGCACCTCCAGCAAATAGCTCCAAGAAGCTGGCACGGCCTGGCCGCTGGCGCCGCGGGGCCTGAGACGAAGACCCTGAGGAGCGCCACTGACGAGGCCCACTGCGTGCCCGAGGAGGAGCCGAAGAGCTTGATGACCCAGCCTGGGGACCTCGACTCGCTGATGATGCAGATGGCCTGACCCGTGACGCCCAAGAAGCCGAGGAAGCTGAGGCCCAGCCTGGGGTCGCTGATAAGCCGATGTACCTGGAGACCCAGTCTGAGGCCAGTGACCCGCTGAAGAGCTTGACGACCCAATCTGTGAACAATAACCTGTACGTGATCTCGATGAGGTGGAGCATGATGGAGCAGGGGAAGGACGGGATGGGAGAACAAACTCAGCTGGGATGGTAGAGAGGATGATCCCTTGTGCGAGGTCCTCGCTCCACTGTCCCGTGCAACCAATAGGTTTCTCTCCAAGCCCTGGCGGCCTGGAGACGCGGCTCGGCGACGGCCGAGTCGCGAAGGCAACGCTGGTGATGAGGGGCTCGGACTCCACAGGCCCGAGGCATGGAGGGCCGCCGCTGGCCCTCGCGACAGGAGCGCGCCGGCTGGGCGCTGGCGGGCAGACTCTGAAGCCGACCCCGCGGACCCAGCCAGGTAGAAGTTCGCGGCGGTCCGCGGCCCGGCTCCCCCAGTCAGCAACGTTCACGCATCCTGGAACGTGACGCGCCCGCCACGTGATCTCGGCGCCCAGCTGCAGGGCGCCGGCCCGACGACATTGCGCTAGGAGCTCTCGATTGCTGGCACGGCCCTTCTCGAACGGCAAGACGCTGGACAAGTTGTCCGAGAGGCTCAGCAGCTCGGTCCCGTGGCAGTTGACCTGGCGCGCGGCTGCGCCCAGCCCGATCGCCGAGGCGCGGGCCTCCAGGCTGTGGATGCGGCCGGGATGGCGCCACGCGCCGCGGAAGGCCTCGGTCCACCGCTGCGGGTCGATCAGCTCGGGAGGCAGAGCAGGCGGGGGGCGGCCCACCTCCATCTCCCGGCGCTGGCGGCGGGCTCGCGCCTGCCTGCGGGGACGTCCCGCATCGGCGGCGCCGAGCTCGTCGCAGTGCAGGTCGGAGACGTCGGCCAGCCCCGCGGCGCGGCCCAGGTAGGCGTCCCTGTCGGGGTCGCCCGTGGCCTCGACCTCGCTGAAGCGCTGCCTCTCGCGCCACCGCGACACACCGAGGACCTCGTGTCCGAAGAGCTCGGCCTCGCAGACGGCGTACCCCAGCATCGAACTGTCGGTGGTGTAGGACACCGGCGCAGGAGGTCGGCGCAGGTCCACTTGGCCGAGAAACACGAGGCCAGCAGCACAGCGGAGCTCCGTCAGCACGTTGGACGGCAGGCGGGAGACGCCCTCCATAGGGCCTGACTCGAGGTAGGCGTAGGACTCGCCCAGTACGCTGAGGGCGGGCCGCATGATGCTGAAGTAATGCGCGATGTGTCCGAGCAGCCTCCTGACCTGCCAGCGGGCGAGCCTTGGCCTGCGTAAAACCTCGTGTAGGCCAAGGTACAGGCGCCATGCACGCCGTGACGTGTGACGAAGGCGGCCGTGTCGGCCATCGAACTCGAGGCCGAGGATGCCCTGCGACGAGGTGGCGTGCTGCAACTCGTGCCAGCGGAGCCCCCTCTTGTCCAGCTCGTCCGTCACGGCGCCGAGGCGCTGGTCGAGCTCGCCGGCGTCCAAGGAGATGAGGTTAGCGTTGTCGACGTAGGGCGCACGAGCAACCCCCCCGTTCAGCAAGGAGGGCGGCTTGCCCTCGTCCCGGTACCAGGAATCCCTGTCCCCGAAGACGGTGCACATGGTGTCGATCAGGACCTCTTGGCAAATCCACAAGGCCCCTGACCATCCCATGGGCACGGCCTCGAAGCAGGGCCAGACACGGGAGTCGGGACTGATGTCGACGTAGCGGCCGAGCTCCTCGTCGTAGAGCTGGGTCACCCCCAGCTCGCCAGCGTCCATCTCGATGTCGAAACACATCCAGGAGCCCCAGGCCGGGTGGCGGAACTGGTAGAAGCCGTCCTGCAGGTCCACAGAGCCCGCCACCAGGTCGCCCCCGGTCGTCGCGATGTCCAGGTCGTCGGGGCTGAGGTCGGTGGCGTCCACGAGGTTGATCGCCGCGAGCGCCTCTCCTGAGGCCAGCGCGGTCTTGGGGGGGAGGCGCTGCAACTGGTTGGCCTGCCGGGCGCCCAGCGCCATCCTCTGATCACCGTTCTTCTTTCGCACGAAGAAGGCAGAGATGCAGGACTTCCGACGGGCCCGAGCTCCAACGAGCCCTCGGAGAGCCAGCGCGCGAAGACAAGCCACGAGCGCCGGGCGCGTGCCGCGCCGGCGCGGGTCGAGCTGCGGGTCCCAGTACGGCTGCACCAGCGGCTCGT